GAGAGAATGTTAGAATAACATTCTAAAGATAGGATATATAGACGAGAGTACTGATATGTAGCGATACACTCACTTATACTTGTTTTACTTGGATTATTAACTTTGCCTATGATTTGGATTTCTATGTGATTGTTTACTTGGATTTTATATACTAGTAGTGAATTATTTTTCCTGGATGTTTTTATTTGTGATGTATTGTGTAAATAAACTGTACAATAGACGAACTTGAGTCTCATTTCAAGATATGAGGAGAATTTAACGCTACCAAATAGAGAAATTAAAGACTAAGGACAAAATGTGAATACGGCCGCTCGGTCGGCGTTACACAAGTACCATAGTTTTCTATCAAGCCCTGGGCGACACTACATTTCAGCGCGTTTTTCTGGGTACCAGTAAAATAAAGTTTTTCTATTCGATGTTGATTCCCGCCCCTCCTTCTGTTGTTGCATTTTCTAATCTATCTGTGCTAGTATTTCAAGAAGTCAGCTTTGGCGAGTAGTTTATAGAATGAGTTACTTTTAATTTTCACACACGTGTTTATTAACTCGGACATAAAACTATTCGTTTAAACATTACAATCTTGCGTGCATGAATTAATGTGGTAGCAACAATAATTTGTTCAATTTCCTCATATTTTTTAAGGTCCATCGGATGAGACCGTATAAACCGAGGCCCCGTGTCACAGCAGGCGTGGCACGATAAAGATCCCTCCCTGCTCAAAGGCCCTGAGTGCCGAGCATAGGCCTAAATTTGCAGCCCTTCACCGGCAATGGTGACGTCTCCATTTCAGTGAAATATTCTGGAGAGGGACGTTAAACAGTATATAAACAATCATTCAATCATATTTTTTTATATGCCTGATGTAGCATGGAGTAAAATTATTTCTAAAGATGCTTACATAAGCATGAGAGCCAGGTGTTTACTGCAAAACTGTGTCCTTACAACAAAACAAACTGATTGTAAGTAACTGGCACTGTTATACCACTTATTAAATGATCAAAGAATTGTTATAGTTACATACTTCAAACTTTTAAAATAATCCAACCGGAGTGTCTTTTAGTTTTTTTTTTCAATCAAATATTACAGTATTCCTTGTCAACATTTGGAATTTTATTCAATTTCAAATAAAAGCCCGATTTTTCTCTCTGTTAAATGCTTCTACACATAAACCGAATATTCGAATCATATTTTTATATTCGAATATCAACCCATCGAATGAATAATCGAATATTCGTTGACATCCCTACTTTAAACAAAATGAATGGCAATTGAAATTCAACAAACCAAAATCTTATCATAAATGGCCATAAATGCAAAACCAACAGTCTTCTTTGCAATACGAATATACCCTAAATTCAACCAATGTACCAATATACAATTCAGACATGAAAATTAAAACCAACAGACATAAATGCAAAACGAGCATTAACCAGACGTCTCTGTTGAGACTGTAGCTCTACTGGTTTGTACTTATAACAAAGGATGAGGAAAGAAGCCATTGCCATCAGACCAAAACTGTAGGATGAATAGCGTTTTAAAGGAATTTAAAAGAAAATTCAATTTTGAATAACCATGGCAACATCTTTCATCGAAATTAAAATCCAATGCACTATTTTATGTATCTTAGTGTAGTCTACTTGTGTGCCAAGTAATATTGAAATCAAACCAAATTGTCGGATGAGTAGCGTTTCAAAGAAATTTTAAAGAAAATTCTATTTTTAGTAACCATGACAACAACGTTCATCAAAATAAAAAGCAAACGCATTATTTCATGTATCTCAGTGAAGTCTACTTTTGTGTTACGTAATATTGATATCAGACCAAAACTGTAGAAGGAGTAGCATAAAAGCAAACGTATTATTTCATGTATTTTAGTTTAGTCTACTTGTGTGCCAAGTTATATTGAAATCAAATCAAAACCGTAAGAGGAGTAGAGTTTTAAAGGAATTTCAAAGAAAATTCTATTTTTAGTAACCATGGCAACACTGTTCATCGAAATCAAAATCCGATGCTCTATTTTATGTATCTTAGTGTAGTCTACTTGAATGCCAAGTAATATTGAAATCAGACCAAAACTGTAGGAGGAGTAGCGTTTTAAAGGAATTTCACAGAAAATTCTATTTTTAGAAACCATGGCAACACCGTTTATCGAAATCAAAAACCGATGCACTATTTTATGTATCTTAGTGTAGTTTACTTGTGTGCCAAGGAATATTGAAATCAGACCAAAACTGTAGGAGGAGTAGCGTTTTAAAGGAATTTCAAAGAAAATTCTATTTTTAGTAACCATGGCAACCCCGTTCATCGAAATCAAAAACCGATGCACTATTGTAAGTATCTTAGTGTAGTCTACTTGTGTGAAACATAATATTGAAATCAGACCAAACATGTAGGAGGAGTAGCGTTTTGAAAAATTGTTTACAGACAGACGGACAGACAGACAGACGGACGACGGACACCTTACTATCTCATAAGCTCTTCTGGTCTCTGACCAGTAGACATGGACCAAAACAAGGGGACGAACAAGGTTGCGTTAAGAACGGACAACATTCGGCAAATCTAGGATTTCGGCCTCGTAACATCAGAAGCTATACGGAACACATCTAAAACACTTGCGCCATATTTGCTTTGTTCTGTATTTTTTCAGCGCATAAAGCGGGAATTTTCTGGAAAGGATGACGGAGAGTATGATGGGCATGTTAACCTCGTAATTTGCAATATACAAGAACAGAATTCTCAGAGAACTACATGAACGATCCACGAATAAATTTGACACAACGTATTACCCCCGGATGGATTTTTAAAAAAAATTATGATATATAAAAAAAAAACTAGTCAACATTTAACTGAAACATAAAGATGTCATTTTTGTAACATCAAGCATTTTGTCCCCAACTATTTGAAGTTCTTTTTTCTGCCGCTCCAGGGATGTTTAACCCCTTCCATAAGCTAAAAAATAAAACAATACCTACCCATCATGATTTTTTTTGGAATGTAACGTTACAGGAAACACATTTTTTTAGGCCTAAGCTAAATATAAATATGAAATATATTATAAGTTTTACAACAGATATACAACTTCTTTGAATGAATATTTTTTCCTTGCGAACAAAAATGATTTCTTTATTGCAAAACCAAAAAAAAAAAGATTTTATAACTAACATTGTGATACCTTTCGATATAGAAAAAGTTGCATTGTCCCAGCTTTACTCAACATACTTTCAAATCAACATGATCAATGTGATTCAACATAACTTTGCTGTTCTTGAGAATATTTAGAAGGATTTATTCACATATATTCACATGTACATGTATATGTTAAAATTTGATCGTCTTTTGTGGCCCCACTTTAATCCTGGAGGTTATGATTCGATCAAATTTGAATCTACACTATACGGAGTTGCATTTATGTTTCTTTTTTTACACAGTGGCTTTTGAGAAAATATTTAATAGACATGATAGATACCACCAAGTTCTCACTATTTCGAATTATTTCTCCTTGAAAGAGGGCGTGGTCCTTAATTTAAAAATTACTTCAATTAAGGATGCCTTATGGCAAGTTTGACATTTTGCCCAGTGATTCTACAGAAGACGAAGTTTATAACATTGACGACAGAAACATTTCAATCAGAAAAACTCACTAGAATTATCATATGTTATCATGTTTATTACGAATTGATTTGTGTACGATGTAATGATTAATTGAGCATGCGCAATATAGTTTTGTACCGAATACAAATGGCGTTCTGTTATTTATGAGCCCACACAGATTATCAGCCAGCATCCTTATCGCCGAACATATAATATGGTGTCAGAATAATACGCAGAAGTTTACGGACATTACACAGAATGGATCTGGCAGGAGTTCCACAGCCGCAGATGCAATGGGACGCTACAAACCCACTCGAAGCGTGGAAGAAATTCAAGCAGCATGTCCAGCTCATTTTTGAAGGGCCTCTCGCAGAAAAAGAAGAGAAACAAAAGATTCGATACCTCCTACTATGGGCGGGAGAAAAAGGACGAGATGTATACAACACCTGGACATTAACCGAAGCTCAAGGTAAATCGCTAGAAGCTCATTATAAAAAGTTCCAAGAATATGTACAACCAAAACAAAACCCGGTGTTCTCGAGGTACAAATTCAACAATGAAATACAAGGGGCACAACCTGTAGAACAATATATTACCCGGTTACGCTTACTTGCTAAATACTGTGCATTCGAGGGAGCTGAAGACGACATGATTCGAGACCGTCTTGTATTTGGTACTAACTCAGCAAAAGTTAGGGAGAAACTGATTAACGAGGGTGCACAGCTTACACTAAACAAAGCGATACAGATAGCACAAAATTGTGAATATTCTCAACAGCAGCTGAAGACAATGGGGCCGCTTGTAACAGGAAGTTCCGACAATCCAAGTACGCGAGATGTCAGTGCAGTGAATCGGGGCAGACCACATCTAAGGGGGCGAGGCAGAGCAAACGTGCATCATCGCAGATCGACAGCACCGTCGCGTGGGAGAAGCACACAGAGTAAAAGACAAGATGATCGTCAATGGCGAGACAATTCAAGCGCGCATCAGAACAGATGTCCGAACTGTGGTTTTGATCACAAGAGAGACGCGCGATGCCCTGCAAGAGGAAAACAGTGCAGCAAATGCAGGAAATGGAACCATTTCTCTAAAGTGTGCAAAAGTGTTAGTGACCCCAATTCTAAATAAGGCTATACGTCGCCCACATTACCCTATGAAAACCCTTAACGATGTGCTTCCTCAGCTCTCTGAAGAACGATATTTCACAAAGTTAGATGCTCGTAGTGGTTACTGGACCCTCAAGTTGTCGGACGAATCTGTGCGAAAAGTGCAAACTTTACTGCGATGCAGGGAGAAAGGTATAAAGCTGTGAGACGGAATGACTATTTTGGTCACATAATTTCAGCTCAAGGTCTAAAGCCCGACCCTAAAAAGGTCAAGGCCATTTTCTGGAAACCTATTTGTCTAAAATGAAATGCTACTGTCATCAAAGACAGAATATTTATGGTAAGGAGGTGACGGTTCAAACCGATCACAAACCTTTGGTCTCCATTATCCAGAAACCCATTCATTCGGCACCAGCAAGGTTGCAACGTATGATACTGCAACTCCAGAGATACTCACTTCACTTAACACATGTTCCTGGTAAGAAAATCCCGGTGGCAGACACTTTGTCCAGAAAATACTTACCCGATACCTTACCATCTATATCAGATGACCTTGAAGCCCAAGTTCACATGATATCGAACTCTATACCTATGAGTGATGCCTGTCTCGATAGAATTAGGTATGAAACTGCTCAAGATTCTCAGTTAGTGACCTTGACAAGTATTATTCTGAATGGCTGGCCCGAGCACTTGGCTCAATGCCCATACTCTGTTAGAGAATTCTGGAATATTAGGGATGAATTATCTGTTGTAGATAAGTTAGTGATGAAAGGTCAAAGAATTGTGATACCAAGGTCATTGCAATCTGAAATGTTAGAAAAACTACACACAGGTCATCCAGGGGTAGAGAGAACTTTAAGACGAGCTCGTGATTCGATGTTCTGGCCGGGTATATCACAACAAGCACGTGACATGACACTTACTTGTCCCACGTGTCTCACACACCGGAATTCGAAACCCAAAGAACCCTTGAAACTGACTGATGTTCCTGACTACCCATGGCAAGTTGTTGCTACTGACCTTTTCACATGGGATGATCAAGATTTCCTGATAGTGGTAGACTATTATAGCCGCTTCTTTGAAGTGTTCAAGCTCAAAAGCACAACTAGTCAGAGTGTTATTACTAAGCTACAGGAATCATTTTCTAGACATGGCATTCCTGAGAAGGTAGTGTCTGATAATGGTCCCCAATACTCTAGTCATGAATTTAAGGATTTTGCCCATCAATGGAATTTCAACCACACAACCTCTAGCCCTAGGTACCCGCAGTCCAATGGACTTGCTGAACGAACTGTTCAGACTGCCAAGAGAATGTTGACAAAGTCCAAAAAGGATGGTCGCAATTTGTTTCTGTCTATTCTTGCTTATCGCACCACTCCTCTCAACATAGGTCTCTCACCCTCACAGTTGCTTATGTCCAGAAGGTTAAGATCAGACTTGCCAGTACACCCCTCCTTGCTAAAACCTCATGTTCATAACCAGGTTGATGTCAGACATTCTATGATGAATGAAAAGGTTAAGTCAAAACAGTATTATGATAAGAGGTCAAGGTTGTCTACTCCTTTAGATACAGGAGATAAGGTCAGAGTTCAGTTACACTCTAAGACATGGACTCCAGCAGTAGTCTTAAAACCTAATAATGAAAGGTCATACTTGGTAAAAACACCTAATGGTTCTGTTTATAGCAGAAATAGTAGACACATTGTTATGTCAAATGAAAATGTACACTGTGACCATGAGAATCCAAACTTCACTTTGTTCGCTCCACAACCCACTACTCAGGGAGATACTCTAAACATGCAGGGTGAAAAACTTGACACAGATTCTACCCGACCTACTTACTCACCAGGGGTACAGTCCAACCATGATAAACATATGCCAGTACAGTCTAACATGCCATATGTAACTAGGTCAGGGAGAATTGTAAAGCCCATTGATAAACTTAATCTTTGAATATTGTTAATTTGTATGATTCATTTACATGTGTGACAAATAGTCAAATGACATTCTAGTCAAACAGAGACATTGAAATTGTGAAGACTCTTAACTGATTGTAACTTGATTGTTAACCCAATGATGTGCCATTGATTATGTCAATATTGTCATTAATTTGTATGTTTATCCTTAGTTTATATTCACTTCAATTAATTTGAAAAAAAAGGGAGATGTTATGTTATCATGTTTATTACGAATTGATTTGTGTACGATGTAATGATTAATTGAGCATGCGCAATATAGTTTTGTACCGATTACAAATGGCGTTCTGTTATTTATGAGACCACACAGATTATCAGCCAGCATCCTTATCGCCGAACATATAACACTTAACATACCACAAATGAGATCTGCAGCGTAGAACCATCTCTTCTCGATTACATGTTCGTACTCGGAAAACACATATTGTCCTTCCTCCTCCTCTACAAATATCTTATTTTCTTCCTTGGTGACTTCTTTCAATATCAGTCCAAAAATTTCTTTTCTTCGTCCCCCTAGATCCTGGGCCTCCTCTCCATAACTTCTAGGCAGGGGCGGATCCAGCCATTTTTTGAAGGAGGGGTTCCAGGGTTGTGTCCCTTTACCCCCCCCCCCCTCCCCCGACTATACACTCTCAAGCAAGGATTCACACACACGTATGGAAAGATCTAAGATTATGGTAAATAACATCTTTGTTTTAGGTCCCTTTTTCTTTTAAAAAGGTACCCCTTGTCCAAATAAATAAGAAACACGTTTCAAAAAGTACTGAAGCCTAAAAATTGAATGGATTTGCAGCATTTCCGGAGATTACAAAGAATATTCTTTCAAAATTTTAAACTTTTGGTGGGTGGGGGTGTAGTTGAGGTTTAAAATAAATAATTACCTTTTAGTTCCTTCGAAAGATATAATCAAAAAACGGTACATTAGATACAAGTACCCAATACATGCAGGTAAAGATCGCGGGAATCTAATATAAAATTGAATTTTGCATGTTACTTATCATATATATATATGTATATATCAATTTTTTTCTACCATACTCTCATAAAAAGTACTGGTGAAGGTGAATGAGGGAAAGTTAATGTTTGAGAATATATCTTTTCAATACATAAGTTGGACTGATAAATATTCATTCTTTGAAAGCGTTTATCCTCTCTGTCTCTCCTTCACTCTCTCAACTTGGCAAAAAAGGGGGGATTTCCAACCCCTGGAACCCCCCCCCCCCTGGATCTGCCAATGTCTAGGGGTAGCCTAAAGATCAGTTCAAGTTTGGTTCCATCAATTCTGTAAATTCAGTGTCAAGCATTCTCTCTCTTGAGACAAAAATGTCGGTTGTATCTCCCTCCAACATTTTGACTTAGTAGTTATGTCCAGTTTTCTTCCGATCTACCTTTCTACCTTCCAATAAAAACATGACATTTTCATTTAAGTATACTTTAGGACACAATTTATGAAGGGTGCCTAGCAAATGCTTGAAGTGTGTTGAAACCCTTACTAAAGTCAAAAACGTTAATTTTTTTTTTATATTACAAAGGATAAAATATGACGCTGAATGAAGTAAGGTAAATCAGTGAATTGCTTTTGGTTTACATTTTCTGTTTCCGGAAAAATTTGCTTGCGAGCCCTGACATAATCACTTGGTGTAAACTTTTTAGGGGGTTGCACGTTAGACCTTAATCGGACAGGTGATAATACTGGTGGCTGTTTGTCTAAATTTGAATCGTTTATCCTATCTGTAATTGGAGATAAAGAAGGTGGAGATAAATAAAATGATGAGTTAAGACTTGGGGGAAATAACCTGTCTTTCTCTGTGGAGCTCAGATTGTTTGTGTCGGAGATTGCTGTTGGGGAAAAGGGTTGCAAAGTCGGCGTTTCCAATGCTGGCGGAACAGGAGAATCGATGTGGTCATTTGCAGTCTGAAATAATTCGTTGTCAGGAAAAGAAGCCGAAGGCCCTATGTTTACATGGCTGACCGGAGGAGTTAAGGAACTGTCGTTGGTGGATAGGTGTAGGTGGAGAATCGAATCACTAGAATAATCTGTTAGTTGAGGTTCAAGTTGAACTTAGTGTAAGGAATAGTGAGAAAAATCATTACTGTGAACATTGTTATTATCTGTGTTGTTTTGGTTTGAGTTGAGATCCCTGTTTGGAATACACACTGTATTAACATTATGAAAATTAACTTCATTAATACAAATATCCGCCTGCGTGCCCGGTATCGGTTCTAACCTTATAAAATGAAACTCGAACTCATGGTCTAAATAAATATGTAAAAGATTTTCCCTATTTTGACGATCAAAAGGCAAAATGTACCTAAAGTCGGACTGGGAGCTCGACACAATACGTACTGCGATATTAAATGCGTTCGCGATGGCCGTGATGCAGATGTGGTCGCCCCATTCGGTACCCAGTATGCCCTTTAAATAGGTATCCCAGTCTAAATTAGGTACAAAGTGTGAAAAGCGGTCGCCTGCCGGTGTTTCAGGGTTCTCGGAGAGCCAGTTTACCACGATATCTCTAATATCTTGCTGATTTCGTTCAAGCGCATTTCGAACCAAATCGTCATGGGCTGTATGGGTTCTCGAGAGGCTCGGTCCTTTGAGTTGGTTTAATACATTATCAGAAAGATAGAACTCCGAAATATGCGGGAAATTATGGGAAGGAATTGAACAGGGAACTTTGCTTTCGCGGCAACAAAATTTATTTAATTTGTGTACACAGTTTGGATCCGATTTTCGGGAACATTGCTCATTGTTACACTCGCACAACGGATCAAGCCTTAATCGATTACGATTTTGTCTTTTTAACAGTTCTTCGGAACGTGAAATTGCTGCTATGTTTTGTACATTTATCCAACGCGACTACGCATTGGAAAACCTTATTTTGTAAGAGAACGTGTTGTGTTTTGTGCCAATTATTTTTTCCCTTTCGAACCGCGGCTTAGCTTTATTGTAATTTTTCCGAGTTTGGGATTTTACGAACACTTCGTCGCCCACACTATAGACACTAACTTGATGTTTTTTGAAATGGTGCTTTATCATGGTGTTCTCGCGTTTTTTAGATGCCAGGAGGGCTGCCTTGCGAATGGCGGACTGCTTTTTCAACTCTTTCGAAACATTATTTGAAACGGTTGGTCCAAGACGAGTAGACTTACGCACACGATTAGATTCCCGTCCGTGATATACGTAAAATGGAGAATCCTTTAAATATTTCAGCTGGAGGGAAGACTTTCATGCTCTTGCATCAGATGCGATGCTCCAGATTTGGAGGGAAATTCTGGGTTACGCTTTTCCCCCATTTTGCATGATCTTGCCTTGTCTAGCGAAGGTGAGGGAGGAGAAGTGCCAAGTTGTGATCGTAACAGCGACATGGCAAACGCAACCTTGGTATCCTCTCTTTCCAGTGCTGATACCTATGGGTTCGAGAACCTTAACTTCTCCCCTGGGGGAAGTTCACCCGTTGATCACCAACGGAACGTTACAACTAGCAGGGTGGAAGGTATCAGGAGACATTACACTTCAGAAGGTTTTTCAGACAAAGTTAAATAACTACTCTTGTACGTATGGAGACCAGGCACAAAATCTGCTTACGACAGTGCCTGGTCGAAATGGAATAGCTGGTGTTTCGAACGGTCAGTTGATCCCTTTTCAGCCAATTTGGCCTCTGTTCTCGATTTTTTATACCCCCCGCAAACGAAGTTTAGGGGGGGGGTATATTGGAATCACCATGTCCGTCCGTCCGTCTGTCTGTAGACGAGATTTTGTCCGGACCATTACTCAGAAACTATTGGAAGGATTTGTCTGAAAATTTGTACACATATTATTCACCATATGAAGTTGTGCACCTGATATTTTTCATCTTGATTGGATTATTATTTTGAATTTTACAGGTGTTTTTTCATTTTTATTTTGTGTTTTCGTTTGGACCATTTCTCAGAAACTATTGCAAGGATTAATCTGAAAATTTGTACAATTATTATTCACCATATGAAGTTGTGCACCTGGAATTTTTAACTCTTTTTGTTCATTTTTCTGCATTTTACAGGTTTTTTAAAATTTTAATTGACTTGTTCATTTTGGGCTCATGTATAAGGTTTGAAACATAGAATCTAGAATATCTGTACAAAAATGTGAAATACAGCTTAAAACTACTCATAAAAACTCTATAAAAAAAAAAAAAAAGAAACATCAAGTGTTAAAAACAGTTTTTACATTGCACAGAAGATAACGTAATTTCATTTGTCTCTTTGGAATAATGACTGGACATGCATCCAGTTAAAGATAAATTAATGAGTTTGGTGTTGGAAGTTGTTTAGCCATATCTCTTATCAAGTGTGTGTGTGTTATCAAATCTTCAGGGAATAAGGCACAAGAATTAAAGATCTCTCTTCTCTTATTCTCTTAATTGTAATTTATTGTCTGTCAAAACACTTCATTACTGGATGACCAGTTCTTATTTTCAAAATGCATTTCAAATTAATATATCAAGATTAATTTGATTTTGTATAATTGTTTTTTTTTTCAACAATCAGTTTGCAGAGTGACATAACACATATTGCAATATATTTTTTTAGTGCAGTAATAAAGAAAAATTAAATGAAAAAATAAAAAAAATGTTATAATGGAATTACAATGTATTAGTATTAATGTTTCATTTGGTTGCACCTACGTTTCATTCATTAAGAAACATGATGAGCAATTATATTTCACTGCAAATTTTTTAAAGTAAATTGTGAACATCTCTAGATCCATAAAGTATTTTTGAATTGGCACCTTCTCTGAAAAACCCAGCGGGGGGTATTAGTCCCTATTGGACAGTTCTAGTTTTAGCTTTAATGTTTTATCAGGGCTATAAATACCGTACAATTAATGTTCATAGGTCGGCAATTTCCTCAGTGTTACCACAATTAATTGGAGTTTCTGTAGGTCAGGTCCCTGTTGTGAAACAACTGTTTAAGGGAATATTAATAAAAGACCCA